GCCCGGCACGAAGCGTGGGTTTTTATCGCTATTCCGTGCCTGCCACGTCTGACAAACGGTTGAGCCAAGGGTTGGAAAGCCGCCCGGTCTTATGAACCGATTGTCAGTGAGCGTCCGTGGCGCGTACTAGCTGAAAGATCCCCTTTGGGAAAACTCAGCCGTGCCCACATCGCAGACCTGAAGCCCTTTGTCACGGTCTGACGAGCTCGCGCCAGTGCCCTACGGCACTTCGCGCAAGCAACGGGCACACCCGGAGCGGCGGACCGCATTCGGACCCCGCACCGGTATAATCTGAGGAAGCGGCCACCTTTGTGATTTCGCGCCGGACGGCGGACTTCTCCGCAACCGAAGGCCCTCAGTTTACTGTCTAGCCTCAGTATAGGTTAGCTTCTTTACGGCCTTTTCTCGTGAAGGAGTTGACCCCGCCCTGTCTGCTGCCAGTGTTTCTTTTTTTTTTTGAAGTGTTCATGTGTATTTTATGTTTCTTTTGTCTAATATTAAGTGTTATTTGTGTTTTATGTTTTTTTCGCCAGAGGTTGAGTGTCGTTTTGCTCTGTTTTTACTTTTTTTTCCGTATTCGTTTCGTCTACCGCGAAGGGAGCTGTGTGTGACCTTGTGTGTCGGTGCTTGCCGGGAGGGAGAGAGACGAAGGACGCTTTGCGCCTACGCTCGCGCAGCCGTCGGCGGTGTGTGTGCGTGCGTGTGTAAGTGCGTGACGCTTCAGTGCGAGCCCGCGAAGAGTGCGTCATGGCTGCCCTCCATCGACGCGGACACTGGAGGTGCTGGGGGGTCATTGACCCACTGACGTCAGACCATCTGGCTGTGCTCTGCTCTTGGCCGTCGCCGAAGAAGCCGTGCTGCCTTTTCCACCATGGCTCCTGCGCGAGGCCAGCTGAAAGCAGCTATATGCTGCCGGCCAACGCCAGGGCGCCTCGCAGCCAATTTTGGTTCGGCCTCCCTGACCACCGGAGAGGCCCGGCTTCCCGCAACGTCCAGCTCCCTCATCGAGCCAGAAATGCGGGGCCTCGGAAGCACAGCCGAGGCAGCGTTCGTCGGACTCGCTGCTCATCAAGACCAGCAACGAGCCATCAGTGAGCCCCCCCCCCTTCCGGTACCTCTGACCTCGCACTCGGGCATCGCACCCAGCGGACACTGTCACGCCTTTTCCGCCCCTCCGCGCAGTGGACGCTATCCCCCTTCAGCACCACGAACACTAGTGCCACGTTTCTGTGCTCCCTTCCGCAGTTATCTTTATAGTGTCGTGTGTTTATTTTGTTATTTATGTTTTTGTTTCTCCTTTGTAATCATATTTTTTTAAGCAGCAGTAGCAGGGCTGGACTGAGGTTAGCTGTCGCTCATAGCAGTGTCATTTTAACTGCATGGGTGACGTCCGGCTGCCTTTTGCAGACCGGTAAAGGGCAAATTTAGGAGAGGGGGATGTGGGAATTGAGGCTGGCCCGCTGCCTGTGCGCGGGCTTTGCCGCCTCTTTTCTCATGTCCCGACATGCCTACCCTCCTTTGCCGTCAGCCGCGCTGGGAAGGGCGGAGTGACGTTTAACTCCCTCACCCGGTAGCGGATGTTTGACTGTGGCGCCGCGCGGGGAGCCTCCCGAGAGGTTTTCGCGCGCTGCGTCGGGAGCGGGAGTACAGTCCGGGACTTCAAACGGTGAGCCACGCATTCTTTTCCGTCCGTCGAGTCCCGTCGCTCGGGGCTCGTCGGACTTCGCTGACGGCGCCTCGCGCCCGATGTGAACGCTCACCTTTTGTTGCCCCGCTGCGTACTCACGGCCGAAGGGCAGTACGGTGTCCTAGTGCGTGGCCTAGCTACGCCGACCCGTCTCCCTTCGAAGCCAACGCGAGCGCCTTTGCCCTCGCTCGAGCAACCGGGCCCCTTTGTCCCGGTGTCTCCGTGGATTACCTTTACCGCGGAGACGTGCTCGTGGCACCCCTGTGTAGTACTTTGTGCCCGTGGCGTGGATAAGCCTACTTGCTTTCCCGCCGCGCCCTTTTTGCAACGGGCTGTACTGCGTTTGGTGTTGCCACAATAAAGTGTTGCGACTTGAGCAGTATCGTGTTTCCCGCCACGGCGACGGTTAACGCGTGCCCTGCGGCTCGCTAAGACCGGACCCACGCTGGTGGCCGTACTCCTTCGGGGATACGTGTACACCACAAACTACTGCCAAGGCTGTGCTGTTGGCCCCAAGCCTGGTGACGACAACTATGAGGAGTGGCTTGAGAAACACAAGCCACAGTGCCAAAAGAACACCGATGCTAATGCAGGCCAAATGGAAGTAGAAGCAGCGAGGATCATGTTGGAAAGATCGTTTACCAAGTACAAGCTTCGATACATCAATGTGCTCTGCGACGGTGACAGCCGTACGTACCTTGCCCTCACGCAAGACAAGGTGTATGGCTACATGTTGATTAAGAAACAGGAGTGTGTGAACCATGTGAAAAAAAGAATGGGCACTTCCTTGCGCAACCTTCTTGATGAGCACAAATCCAAAGGCCGAGGACTGAGCATGGGTGGCAAAGGCCGGCTGACGCAGGGCCTTATAAAGAAGTTGACGAATTATTATGGCTGGGCCATTAAGAGCCACCCCAACGATGTTCCTGGCATGGAGAGGGCCATCATGGCCACTTATTACCATGTAACATCCACAGACCAGGATCCACACCACGACCTGTGCCCAAGTGGGACTGACTCCTGGTGCCCGCACAATCAGGCATTGGCCAAGGGAGAGCCGCTGCCGCCTCACAAACATAAACTGCCCCCTCACGTGCGAGTGGCACTGCTGCCAATCTACAAGCGCCTCTCGAACAAAGAGCTCCTTGAAAGGTGTGCGCAGGGAAAAACCCAGAACGCTGTGGAGAGTATGAACAGCCTCATTTGGTCACTCCAGTCCAAGAGCCAGTTCACCTCCCTTCGAAGTGTGGAAAGTGCAGTTGCAGATGCAGTCTGCCGTTTCAATGGTGGCTGCAAGAGTGCGCTGCAAGAGATCACTGCTCAACTGGGCTTCAATCCAGGAGACTGCTCTTTGCGGCGAGCAGCCGAAAAGGATGCCAAAAGGGTGAAGAGGGCTCAAAAGGCGCATTGTTCCACGACAAATAAGCGCAAAACTGGGTTGCGCTCTACAGAGGCCAAGGCCACAGCATCTCAGGATTACTGCCCAGGAGGATTCTGAGTGTTTTAGGCATGTTGTGAACTTCCAAACAAGAGTGAACTTTCAAAGTCAGTTTTCTCAACTCTTGATTTTCGCCTATGTGCCTTCGCTAGAACAATAGTCATTTTCTAACAAAGACTGATAGAGTCGTTCCGTTTTTTGCACTAGGCTCAGGAGGCCTTTAGCAGTGCAATAAAGCTTTATCTCTCTTCTTACTCATCATTTAAAATTTTTAGAACACATTTTATAATTACTGCGATGTGTGCGCAAAACATCTATGTTTTGGAAATTTTATTTATGGTTACAAGAACTAGAAAAATCAACTAATTGCTTCTTTGCACAAGTTGATGCTTTGGGAACATAATAATATGAAAAAATAATTTCATTTAGCAATAATTATCTCTTTAAGTGTGAAGAGCATTAATTAGTATAATTATGCTTGTAACTCAAAAAGTACAAGAGGTATTTGAAAACGGTTTTCATATTTGGAATCCTCACAATCATCCACATACACACACCAAATTTCATCACAAACAGTATATTAATAAAAAAATTAGTTTTACTTGCCACGTCCCCCCTTAAGAGATGTCAATTTTTACCATGTAATATACCCAGGCATTGCGTAGCGTGACCTCTCGAGAGAGGTTGCTGCTGCTGTGACTACATTTAAAAGCACTTGCCTCGCAGTCCTTGGACACAAGGGCGCTGATGAGGCATGTGTGCTTGTACCAAATATTTTAAGTTTTTATTATCAAAACTTTTGTTACCCTTTTTAATATGCATATCACGCTACTGTCATGTCTTTAATACTTATGTTTTTACCCGCATTATCGCGAGGAATTTTAAGGCCCCTATACAGCCACGCAACATATCATTGTCCACATCTCTATACTCATTGAAATGGCGCTCTTTGGCCATCAATTGGCCCTTGCGCCATAAAACGCCACACATCATCATCATTAGAAACGAACCATTACAATAGCATTTTGTGATGCAATGCAAACAATGTTTTGGTATTGCAAGTTTTCAGCAATCGTACTATACAAGGGATGCCACATAATAGACAACACAGGGTAACAATTTTAAAACTGAGGCAGTAAAGAAGCACAGAAACAATAGTATGAGGCCAGTGTGCGCACCTGTACGCATTTATACTATTGAATCTTTGTAGCAAATCACAAAGATTTTAATAGTATAAATTTACCAGAATGAAGCAAGCACAAATTTCTTCAGCCATTTTAGCCAACTTCTTCATCAATTTCTATATTCACATTAACTTTTTATCCAGTAAGTAGTTAGACAAACATGGATTTGCTAATACAGTGCAGCATTTAGTTGCAAGTGATGTCTCATACAACGGGGTTCAAGGGCTTTGCGAGTTACGGGCGTCGGCTCTCGCGGGCACCCTAAGGCGATTGTTTGGAAGCACAAGGCCATTTTTCATTAAAAACTTAATAGCGTGGATCGGTCAACAAATGATCTGAGCGCTCCCATTACTAGCGAAACTAACATTTATGCTGTATTCGGGTGGTCGTTTTAGAGCGCTCTAGAGCACTCCCGAAATCGACTCCGTGTTCGGGTGGTCGAAATCGAGCGCTAGACGTATGTTCGGTTAATCGTCTCAGAGCGTCGTACTCCACTCCGAGCGCCTCCGGCTGCTCCGGCTCCCAAGTTGGAGTGCCGCCGAAATCTGGAGGCGATCGGGTCACGTGACCACCCCGGCCGCCGCGGCTCGCCCCGCTCGCCTGCCCAGTCCGTGGCGTTCGCTGAGGCCTAACCGGCGGTTAGTTGTGGGAGTGTTTCGACAATTTTGCTTCTCGTGCTATTCTCCGCATCATGTCGAAACGGAGACGCCTATTGAGTGTAGGGGAACCGTCTCCGCTACTTCTGCAGCTCGAAATAGACGCCGAGGAGGACAGCAGCTCAGACGACGACGACTTGCACGTTTACGCAACGAAGTTCGCCGAACCACTTCCAGTATTCAAAGTGCAGGAATACGTTCGCAAGGTTGTGCACAGCTATTCTGAAGAGCAGGTAAGCTGAAAATCAAATTAATGTGTCGAGGTCTAATGCTCGTTGCAGTTTCGCAGCAATTTCCGCCTGCCTCGGAGAGCCTGCTACGACCTTATCAGGCAGTTCGAGAAGTCCGATTTCTTTCCCTTCGACCGGCACCACAGAGGCGCTCCCGCGGAGACGCCGGAAGAGCACATTCTTTCGTTTCTCTGGTAAGCCAGCTACATCTTCCATATTACGAAGCTTGTGGCACAGTGTGGTGTTTCAGCCTTCGGGAATTTCTTGTGCGTGTGAGAGTAACCCCGTCATTAGTGTTTTGTAGTCTCGTTAATGGTCATCAAACGTCCAACGTCCCCTGCAGGGGCGCCTGCGCAAGTAGGCGTTTGGTGTGTAGCGACACCACAGACCCGAGCTAACGGGGGAGTTTCTACTCCCTCCCACGCCTAGCCGTGCGTGGCTTTGCCGTGCCCGGGGAAAAGGGGATCTTGGGGGTTGAGCTGACGCTGGGTGATTGGACCTTTAAGGCCCCCCGGCAGAGGCGACACACCCCTTTGACCCCGGCTTCACGTACACGGCACCCCTGGGCTGACCCACCCAGGAGAAATCGGCAGTCGCCTTTTCCTATCTCTCTCTCCCTACATCTTCGTCTTTCTTACTTTTTTAGCTTTCCTGTCTACTTCTCTCTTCTGTTTACTTCCAATTTTCCTGGCGGCAAGGGTTAACCCTGTGCAAATAGCCTACCTTGGTCTAGGCGCATTGGGTTATGGCAGTGTTGTACGGCTGACGTCTGCAAGCTTTCAGCACCTGCAAACTTGAAGCGTCCCCTTGTTGGGCTCCGTGGTGGGTGGCCGCAGACGCTGCTGAACAAAAATAAGACCGGCATTCATGGAGCATTCCCTCAACTGTCTGATCGTACCGGCCTAAAGCGGGTACGCACCGACGACATCAATTTCTTCAACCAGCCAATAGAAACTTTTCCCCACTTCCACGTCATTCACTGTGAAAAAACCGGAAAGCAAGCCAGGACCGTATCTAGATCCTTTCGTAGTTGCCAGGTGTCTTACTGAAACTCTCGGGGCTGGATACAAAGTAACCAAAATGGCTAGCGGAGACCTTCTTCTCGAAATTCGGGACAAAGCACAATTTGTAAAGCTAGACAGCCTCTAACCGTTTGGTGACGTACCGATCACCGTAACACCACACAGATCCATGAATATCACCCGCGGAGTGGTATCTGATGCAGACTTACTTGAACTCACCGAAACTGAACTTTTGGAAGGGTGGAAGAGCCAAAATGTCAATAATGTACAAAGAATTATCATCAGAAGAGATAATAAGGAAATACCAACGAAACACTTGATACCCACATTTGCATACAGTAAACTACCAGATTCCATTCAAACAGGGTACACAAAGACATCTATCAGGCCATATATACCAAACCCTTGTCGTTGCTTCCAATGCCAAAAGTATGGGCATGGCTCTGAAACCTGTCGTGGTCGCCAGACTTGTGCACAATGTGGAGTCCTGGGCCACGTGTCTGAGAACTGCAAACAACCGCCACACTGTGTAAACTGCGAAGGAAACCATGCCGCATATTCACGCTCCTGCACATACTGGAAAAAAGAAAAAGAAATAATTACATTGAAGGTGAAGGAGAACATTACGTTTAAGGAAGCACCGCGAAGAGTCGCTCAATTCTATGGACCTACATACGCTGATGCGGCGCGTCAGGGGGCACCGGTGCACCAGCCCTCGCCACACCTTCGGCCTGCGCATACCGAGCCGGCGGTTGCGGCACCTGCCCTCAAGGCGGCTGTAGCCCAGGCTACACCGCCTACTCCCAAACAGAGACCGGAGACTCCAGAGTCTTCGGGTCTCAAGGCCTCCCCTCACCAGGCGCGGCCCAAAATTTGAACTAACAGCCCCCACGTGCGGGCATCCAGTGCCTCCGAGGAGGCAATGGATACGTCGGCACCCTTGGTGCCGAAAGAGCGGCGTGGATCCTTGGAGCGCGCCAAGAAAACAAAAAAGCAAATAACAGGGCCTGGTGACGGCCCTGTTAAGTGAACTCAAACTCCCCGTCTAAACAGCCACTCGCTTTTCGTACACACAGCATTATTTTACATTCACCATGAACACTCAAATTATACAATGGAACGTCAGGGGCCTTCTCAGAAACCTCGACGACATCCAAGAACTCTTACACGAACACTCACCAAAAGTGCTGTGTGTACAAGAAACACACCTTAATTGAAAACACACAAATTTTCTTCGTAAATGCGTTATTTTTCGAAAGGACTGTGATGATGCCATGACATCATCCGGAGGTGTTGCCATCATAGTGAATCAAGGAATTGCATGCACACACTTACAACTCCAAACATCCCTTGAGGCAGTGGCTGTTCGAGCGGTTCTTTTTGATAAACTGATCACAATCTGCACTATTTACATTCCTCCTAGCTATCAGCTGCAAAAACGTGATTTACACTCTTTAATTGATGAACTTCCGAAATCTTATGTTCTCCTTGGAGACTTCAATGCGCATAGCAGGCTATGGGGTGACTCTCGGTATGACGCGCGAGGTCGACTGATTGAGCAGTTCCTTCTCTCGTCGAGCGCGTGTCTCCTAAATCAAAAAGAACCAACATATTATAATCTCGCCAATAACACCTACTCCTCCATAGACCTAAGCATAGTATCTCCATCTCTTGTGCCTCTACTCCAGTGGAAAGTCGTCAGTAATCTGTACGGAAGTGACCACTTCCCCGTAGTTTTGAGCACACCTACAGTAACTGAGTGTCCACCACGTGTTCCCAAGTGGCTCATAAACAGAGCCGACTGGGAACAGTTTTATACCATCGCTCGTCTAGGTTGGAATGACATATGTACTTTGAACATTGATGTTGCTGTCAACTTCTCCACAGCGTTTTTGATTGATGCTGCAACAAAATGCATCCCACAAACAAATGGACACCCTGGAAAACAGCGTGTGCCATGGTGGAACTCTGAATGCCGAAACGCGCGCAAAGAGCAAAACAGAGCTTGGAGGCTGCTTCGGAACTCACCGACAGCCGAAAATCTTGACACCTTCAAGAAAATAAAGTCTCAAGCTAGGAGAACGCGTCGGCAGGCCAGAAGAGAAAGCTGGCAGAAGTTTTTGTCAGGGATCAATTCATACACACAAGAGGCCAAAGTCTGGAACATGGTCGGTAGGATAGCAGGGAAACAGGTACACACACTTCCACTCGTAAACACTCGGGGTGATACCTTGAAAGATCAGGCAAACTTCCTCGGTGCACACTTCGAAAAGGTATCCAGTTCTTCCCACTATACTGACACATTCCATAAATACAGAACAAGAATAGAAAAGCAGAAACTCGAACACAAATCCACTAGATACGAGACATATAACCAAGCTTTCAGTCTAGCGGAGCTCCGAACATCCCTAAACTCCTGCAGTACTTCTGCCCCAGGTTCTGACCGTGTGGTGTATGAAATGTTAAAAAACCTACCAGCCAAAACACGAAAAACCCTACTCTGTTTGTACAATGCTATCTGGTTTTCTGGCACTATCCCTACCTCGTGGAAAGAGGCTAATATTATTCCCATTTTGAAAGAGGGCAAGGACCCTTCTTTAGCTTCAAGTTATAGGCCTATTGCACTTACAAGCAAGCTGCTTGTGCAAAGTATTCGAAAAAATGATAAACTGCCGACTTGTACATATCCTTGAAACAAACAATTTGCTCGACCCATTTTAGTGCGGGTTTCGAGAAAGTAGATCCACCACAGATCACCTTGTTCGTATCGAGGCACAGATCAGAGACGCCTTCGTCCATAAACAATATTTTCTCTCTGTGTTCCTCGATATCCAAAAGGCGTACGATACAACATGGCGTTTCGGAATTCTAAGAGACCTGTCCCACCTTGGTGTGTGCGGAAGAATGTTTCATATAATCGAAAGTTACCTGTCAAACCGGACATTCCGTGTCCGTCTGGGCAGTGTGCTCTCCCAAACATTTGTCCAGGAAACAGGCGTGCCACAAGGTGGCGTGCTTAGTTGCACACTTTTTATTATCAAAATGAATTCTTTGAACTTGTCCATTCCCCGCAATATGTTCTATTGTACATATGTCGACGACGTTCAGCTTGGCATCAAGTCATGCAACTTGGCCATGTGTGAGCGGCAGGTTCAGCTGGGTTTAAATAAGGTCTCCAAATGGGCATATGAAAACGGATTTCGACTTAACCCACAAAAAAGCACGTGTGTCTTGTTCTCTCGAAAGAGAGGCATGCACTCAGAACCTGACATTCAACTGAGCGGGCAACGTCTGTCCGTCGAAGCCGAGCATAAATTCTTAGGCTTAATCTTGGACAACAAGTTGACCTTCGTACCGTACATCAAGTATTTAAAAACAAAATGTTTAAAAGCCATGAATGTTATAAAAGTGTTGTCACGTACTACGTGGGGTAGTGATAGGCAATGCCTCATGAACCTCTATAGAAGTCTCATTCGCACCCGCTTAGATTATGGGGCCATTGTCTATCAGTCTGCTACCCAAAGTGCCTTGAATATGCTGGACCCAGTGCACCATTTGGGCATCCGCCTTTCTACGGGTGCTTTTCGCACCAGCCCCGTAGAAAGCCTTTATGTTGATTCAAATGAGTGGTCGCTTCATCTGCAGAGAACTTATATATCCTTTGTATATTTCCTTAAGGTGAAAGCAGACAAGAGGCACCCCTCATACTCTACTATTAATGACTTGTCGAGCTCCATTCTTTTTCAAAACAGGCCTTCAATGAGGCAGCCCTTCAAAGTTCGCCTGAAGGGTCTAGCTGAGGACACTGGAGTGTCACTCGAACACAGTTTAATGGCTCCTGTAGCATACCCGCCACCGTGGCAGTGGCAGACTATAGATTGCGATGTGTCTTTCCTAGAAGTTACTAAACATGCGCCCATTGCCCATATTCGAACATACTTCTTGGAACTTCAACACAAATACACACGTCCTGAGTTTTTTACAGATGCCTCTAAGTCTAACTCCTCTGTGTCCTACGCTGCTGTTGGCCCTTCCTTTTCGGATGCTGGCCCTCTACATCCACGCACAAGTATCTTCACAGCGGAAGCTTACGCGATACTTGTGGCAGCTAAACACATGAAACAATCACAAATACAAAAAGCAGTAATTTATACAGACTCCCTCAGTGTGGTAACGGCTCTGCACAGTCTTAAAAAACCAAAAAACCCTGTCCTCGTATCACTTTACTCCATTTTATGCACACTCTACACACTCAACCGACATGTTGTGTGCTGGGTGCCAGGGCACCGTGAGATTCAAGGCAACATGATGGCGGATCAGCTTGCTGCATCCGCCCACGAAAGCACCGCCATTACACCCACATCAATCCCGGCCCTTGATCTTAAGCCGTCTCTCAAACGAAACCTCAGAGTATACTGGCAGAGCAAGTGGGATACACACACACAAAACAAACTACATGTTATCAAGCCACACCTTGGCCATTGGCCACCAGTATCAAAATCACGTCTAACAGAGGTAACACTAACAAGACTCAGGATAGGACACACATACACGACACACACACATCTTTTGTCCGGTGGTGATCCACCATTGTGTGATAAATGTGGTGAGGCGTCAACAGTTCTTCATGTTTTAATTCAATGTAAACATTTAGACACTCTAAGAAGACAACACTTCCCACTATCCTACCGACAACCTTTACACCCTGCAATGTTCGTCGGTAGGGAACTGCTTTTTAGTCACAAATCATTATTAGCGTTTTTAAAGGAAACTCATAATTTTCATATCATATACCCGGGCATACCGTAGCACGACCTCTCTAGAGAGGTTTTTGCTGCGGTGGCTACAGAGGAAAGCACTTGCCTCACGGCCCTTGGACGCAAGGGTATGAACGAGTGAGGTACTTGTGCTAATGCCATACATGTCCACCATCGTTTTTCATTATCACTAACTTTTGTCACCTATTCACATCACACACACCTTTCACGGCATGGTCATGATTTTATTACTTGTATGTCTTTACCCGCCTTATTGCGAGGAACTTTATGGCCCTTATAAAGCCGCTAATCACAATCATTGTCCGCATTCTTCGTCCCATGAACTGGCGCTCTTTGGCCATCAAATGGCCCTTGCGCCAAAAAACACCATATATCATCATCATCACGTCGAACATCAAAAAAAAAAACTAAAGCCCTATTGTTACCATGTAATGGCAGCTAGGTTAATCCATGATTTTGCAGTCTGCACGCATTGTCTTGCCATGTGTGCATATGACGAACTAAACCTTTGCTTTAATGATGGCAAAGGAAGATTTTTCTAGTTTAGCAGTGTGGCAATTGTTTTTTTAGTTACGCTGTCAACAAGGCCTCAATCAGGGAGGTTGCCTTGCTGTTCAACATGGCAGACTCCACACAGCTCACTGTCATTGACAGGGGGCTTGGGTTTCTTTTTGCCATTGCCCCAGAAGTGATTTACTTCGCACCTGACAAGGAGGCTCTGGCCAGGGATTTCAAGAAAGTGAGCAGTGGTTTTTCCTTTTTTTTGGCGATTTGGAATTTAAAAGTATGTTGCAAAAAATACTTAATAAAAAAATCAGCACTGGTTGCAATGAAAAGGTAATTAACCAGTCATTAACACAATGAATACCTGACTATTGTAGCACACTTTCACCTATGTGCACCAGTGCACTCGCTGACAATGTATTTTACCAAACAGTTAATGGCTATGTGAATGCCACGTATAAGCCTACACTTGCATACGTTCTCTCTTTGCAGCTTGCAGGATTTCCAAACGTCATTGGGTGCATTGATGGCACCTACATCCCTGTGCGCTGCCCAGTCAACAAAGTCAGGTCGACTTACATAAATAGGCACGACCAGGTGTCTATCACAACTTAGAAAATTTGCGACTCAAACAGGAGATTTCAGGACGTTTTCACGGGCCCCCGAAGCAAAGTTCATGACGCAAGAGTCCTGAAGCTGTCGCCTGTGCAAGAGGATTTGCCTATGCTTTGCGAAATCAACAGGTACCACATCCTCGGGGACGCTGCATACCCCATCCGGGAACACTTGCTTACACCGTACAGAAACTACGGCAACATGACTGCAGACAAAACCGCATACAACGACCGCCATACCTCAACAAGGGTCGTGATTGAAAATTCATTTGGCCTGCTTAAACAGAGATTTCGGCAGCTGTGGTACGTGGAGCTCACAACAGTCGACAAGATTACACTGTTCATAGTAGGCTGCTGTGTTCTTCACAATATATGCCTGAGCAATGGGGACACAGATGTGGAGGACCTGCTCACTGATGAAGAGAGAAGAAAGAAGGCATGACCTGGCTCTGCACATAAGGGAAAACCGTGCTGAGCTGGAAGCAAAGAGACAGCCACTGACAGAGCGTGAAAGCTCACTCCGACGCCTAGGGGAACTGAAAAGAAGTGACTTGGCACAGCAGCTTCGTCACTGACGTGAGCAGGTGAAAACACCACCCTGTAAAAACATGCGCAACATCTTCGCAAAGTGTATTGCTCCTTTAAGGGGGGACATGGTTTTTAGAAATAACATAGGTTATTTCTTGGCCAAAGTAGATGAAACTGCACTGCTTTGTTCAGTTTCTTTAGCTTTATTTAACTATCCAGTTATATTTTACACAGGTCAATTATTTCCAGAGGTAAATAGTACTCTCATTCTATTGTTTGCCGAAACAATAAAGTATTATCTATGCAACATAACATCATTTTAAACACATATATTGATACAAGAAAGCCGAAGGAGAGCAACGCTGCAAGCTGATTGGAAATTGAACAACTACTTCTCAATTTACAGCACTAATGAGTTCATGGTCTACACCTAGCCAAAAACAAAAAAATTTTAAATTAATATAAAAAAAATTTTGAACTGCAGATTGAAAATCTGCTTGCAGTGTTGCTTTCTATGCACATTTAGCTACATTGTGCAAAAAGAATCGTAGCTGTAGCTGTCCTGGGTCGACTTTTAGAGAAGAAGCAAACAAGGGAAGTGGCCGAAATCCATGTTCTGAGAAAATGAGCAAAACAGGTTAAAACTTTATTTAGCGTTACAGAATGTAAAACATCACAGGCACACATAATTTTAGCGAGTTAATATGCACCAGGCATATAATCAGATTGATTGTTAGCATGAGCATGCCTTTTTTTCAAGTTCCGCTGTAAGTTGTCAGCCGACGAGCGTTTGCTTGCTGACGCCACGGCAGGATGACAATCCTTTTCGGCCATGCGCTTGGAACTGTGGATGCCAGGGTTGAGGCCAAGCTCTTTCAGTATGCCTGGAGAGCTTCTCTCATTACCAGCGTTAAACTTCATGACTGCTTCGGCTACTGCTGCTTCAACAGTGAACAATGAAGCATGTCGGTCCTTTGGCGCAAGTGCCCATATCATGGAGTGTAAGCACTCGTTGCTGTTTTGTGTTTTGCCCCGTTGGCATCGTTGCAGTAGCTTCTTGTCAGAAAGCCTCTGATAAATAGGCAATAATGCCTCACAGACATGAGGAGGCAAGCTGCGCGGATGCTTGAGTGCAGGCTCGCCCTTAGCGTCTGCAGCATTTTGCCGACACCATGAGTTGGTCCCTGTTGGGCAAAATGTGTGGTTGGCCACTTCATCGTTTGATGTCACATGGTAATAAGTGGCCATCACTGCCCTTTGCATGGCATCCACATCGTCATGAGATTTCAGGGCCCATCCATAATATGAACTCAACTTGTTGATGAGATCCCCAGTCAACCGGCCTTTTCCGGAAAGGCTCTCCAGGCCAGTGCTTTTCTTGTGCTTGTCCACCAAATTGCGCAAGGCTGTACCCATCCGCTTCTTCACGTGATTCACGCAGTCTTCCTTGGTGATGGGAATGTACCCATACACGTTCTCTTCTTGTAGCGCCAGGTACGTCCGGCTATCGCCATCTGAAAGCACGGCTGTGTACCTGACACTATGCCGCTCTAGTGACCTTTTGAATAAAATGAGGCCAGCTTCCACCTCCATTTCCCCAGCTTTCTTTGTTGTGTTTCGCTGGCACACGTGGTTCTCTTTCCACTCTTCGTAAGCGGGGTCCCCCTCCTTCGGGCCCGACTCACACCCGGCACAAAAGTTGCTCAGGACAACGTAGTCAAGAACGAGGCCGCTTATCAGTTCAATGACGGTACCGACGCCAATATGCGACGAGTGTCCGCGCGTCATCCACGATCCGTCGTATGACACGGCGATGTTTCCCGGGTTGTCCACATTGAATTCCGCGTAGATGTCGTGAACCGAACTCGCGCACTCACTCATAAGTTTCGAGGCAGCAAGAGTAGCGGCAGGTGTTAGCTTCTTCTTCACGTACGCCTGCCACGTTTTCGTGTGGAGGCCGCGACGCGATATGTTCATCATTGCAAATATGTCGTTAAAAGCTGTCTGCCTGTTGCCAGTTGCCTGCATTGCGCGGGTGGTGAGCACGTTCACTGTGAATGGATTTATTTTCTGCTGTCCGTTGACGCGCGGCGAACTCCACTTTGACGACCTGTCACCGCAGTTCACACACACTAGCTCAAGCTTGACGGCAAGGCCGTATTCCCGCTCGCCTCTCCTGATCTCGGCGTCTCCGTTGCAAATCTTGCACTTTAAATGCAATATTATCAAAGCATTTACCGCCTCCAAGTCCAGGATGGTGAAAGTCGTTTCATCGGGTGGGGGACCCACAGCGCCGGCACGTTTAGCGATAAGGCAGCGCTTCCCCTCCGTCGCCGCAACAGATGAAATCTCTCACAGCTTCTCTTCTGCCTTCTTCTTTTTATCCTCTATCTGTTGTGGCTGCAGAATTTGCGTGTCGTGACGCACACGGCCGCTTCCCGCGACGTTGTCGGCAACTGACGGGCTCGTAGGACTAGCGTCCGTTAGGCCTGCCGCGCTGGCGTCGACGACCGCTCCGCTGGCCGCTGCGAGTTCGTCATCCTCGTTGTCCTGGGTCGTTGCGGGGCGCTTCCTGAAGTTCTCGGCTAGCGATCGCCTCACCCGCTTTCCAAATTTGTGTTTGGTGTGGAACTTCTTTATGGCACGACCCATAGCCGTAGGCAGTTGACAACACCAAGACAAAATGGCGCACGCTCACGCGCGTCTCTGCGGTGAAGCAGACGCCAGAAACGCCGCTTGGCCAATCGGATGCCTAGATTTTGTCACATGCCCCAAGCAGCCAATAGAATCGCGCGCTTGTACCTCTCGATGACGCGCTTTTGCTAGAAAACCAATGAGCAAAGCGAGCCAGTGGTGGCGGGAAATTGAAGATGAAGAACGGCTCTTCCAAACGAGATCGAGATGGCCACGATAGCCTTTGTGTACCGGCAACGGTTCGGCACGGAAAAAGCGCGATTTTAGCGTCGATTTGCGCTCATACACACCTCATATTGGTGTTACAAATTGATTTTACGGCGAAAATAATGACAATATAAGCTAGAAACTTAGCAGATTTGTGCGAAAATAGATATAGATTCCGAAAATGTCAGCTTGAAAGAGTCAATTTTTTTGCGATTTTCGGCCTTCTAAGACCCGTGTCCCTCCTTAATAAAGCGAAAGAGTTTATTTATTAGAATACCCTCGGGGCCCGAAGGGCATTACAGAGGGGGTGGGACAACATTTTATAACACACAAAGGAATAAAGACAAGGTAAAAAAAACAAGTGTCAGAAGTGCAAATCACGAAGGCAACATGAATCAACAAAAAAATGTATATGTAGTAAGAACTCAAGCACATACGAGACAAAAATAGATAATGGAAAGTGCAAATAGTTACAAAAATGTTTACTAAAATTTTTGTAGCTCTAGATGTGAATAAAGACAAGGAAAAAAAACAAATGAAACAAGTGTCAGAAAAGCAAATCACGAAGGCAAAACAAAAAAACTAAAAAATGTATATGTAGTAAGAATTCAAGCACATACACGAAAGATACATAATGGAAAGTGCGTATAACTACAAATTTTTTTTTTAATTTTGTTGATCTAGTTGCCCTCGCTGTTCTTTGCAAGGTCTCTCAGTGCCGCTATGTGTTCCTGATGGGCTTTAAGGAGCTCTTGGTTCCTCTCCTCTCGCCTTTTTTCGCGCTCTTCCTTCTTCTGCTCGCGCTCTTCATTTATCTTCCTCATCTCTTGGAAAAAGAACACCATGTCCTGCATTCGGCGCGTGCCTGCTCGAGTTGCGCGATCTTTTTTTGGTCTTTTTGCTTGGGTGCCTTCTGTTTCCAGCAAACTGCTGCTCCCACTGGAGTCCCCTTCAGTCTCTGGAAATGACGGAAGAGGGCTCAGGTCAGCACTCCCCGAGCTGTCCGTTGTCTGAGCACTTGTGCTCGGTGAATCGACAGCTGCGGCCTTGTACGAAACTGTACCGACACCCCGGAGGACTTCTGGCTCGATACTGTTGTCCAGAGCCCTAATCCTAGCAAATTCTTCTTTGTAGGACACCCTGCAGCGACTTCGACCTGATGTCCTGTTATTTGTTCCCTCATTTTTTTTCCTTCTTATTATGGTCTTCAAGCGCGAGTCGCATTGCTCGGCTGAGCGGCGTATGCCCAGAATCTTCAAGATTTCTTTGGCAACTTCCTGGTACATTGCCCGCTTCGTTCGAAATTTTTTAAAAGGGCAAACTTCATTGTTGTACTGGGCGTACAGCATTAGCAGCAGCCGTGTCTCGCCTTCGTCCCAGGGTGCTGTTCACAGGAGATAAAGCCAGGATTAGAGTAAGACACAGAACAATTGATGTATTTTCAAAATATTTTGCCTCTTATGAGATGGACAGCAGACCAGAGCAGCTGTTTTAACTACTGTAATGAGACCACATGTCCTGATTCGTGATGACTGAGAACGAAACAATAAAAAATATAAGCGAATCAGATAAGCAATCAATCCAAACAAAAAAATTGTAATATGTTCCATGCCACCCCACATGGCGATTAATCGCATGCAGCTGACAGATTTTACTAACAGTAATTGTATATACTAGCCCCTACTGAGCCAGGATAGTTCTAATTCTTCTGTGTACTTTTAATTCTGGCCTCTAGCCTTTGGCGCTGTGGATACAAATGTGACTAATTACTACCTATCTGAGTATAGCAACCATGAAATGTGCATTGCAATTGTTGAGTTGCAAAATGACACATAGCTCTTTGGAGAGAGTCCATATTTGTTGTAAAGATCAATTAAATAAACAGGCGGCTTACCAGAGCATGTTGCGTTGTCATCCGCAGTTAAGTCGCCGTCCGGAGCATTCGAGCTCGGTGGAGTGCCTGTAGGAGAGAATGCAACAGGTACAGGAAGTTCAAACGACACAGCCATCGTG